AATGATGACGGGGATGAAGTCAAATAATTCACGAAGGAGTAAGTTAAAATTCATTTTTAAAAAAATTTATTGCTTTAAGTCATGTGATAAAAAAAATTACTGTATTTCATTAGATGATTTTGGTTGTTGAAGAGCGGGGGATAGTTTCTCACAGAATTAGAGTGTTATATCTACACAATCTAGATCCAAAAGGGAATCATCCTACACAGATACTTCACTCATTTCCATTCGTGATCTCAAAGCTGCAAAAACTGTAAAGCAAATTATTGAAATTGAAAAAATTAGTCGTATTTCAAATTATTATTGTTCGAAAAATCTGAAATATTTATGGAGAGGATCTGATTCAAAAAACTTTGCTTATATAAATCACCCGTTTAAAAAATTTCATATTGATTAAATTATGATGTTCAAATTTAATATTTCCATTTTCATCAATGTGATTATCTAATATCAAATAATTATTTTTATTTTTAATTTTTTCAATGGCATGAAGGAACACGATTAATGATTTCTACTATTCATTTAATTTATTCATATGTGTTTGAATGATTTAGTCACTGATCTATTGCATATTGAAATCCATTTCAATTTTAATTAGGATCCGTTTGGTATAAGAAATTGATGGAATTAGAATTGAATTAAAATTGGAATTCCATGTGATTCAATTACATATAATTGAATTCTGTTAATTTCAATTCATTTTTTGCACTATCAATTCCAAATCCACATAATTTTTGTGCTACCAAACACCAAAATTGGAATTGAAGTCTCCAATTCCAATTCCATAGTTTGAGTTCCATGTACCAAACAAGACCTTAGATTTCTTTTTGAAGCATGTTAGTTCTCCTTATACAAAATTTGAATTTTGCTTTTTCCTTTATGAATTGTATTGGCTTGTTTATAGTGTATGATCTTCCATTTTTTTATTGTACTGCGTTTGCAAAAAGGGGGGAGTAGTGCATTTTCATAAATTTTTGTTCGTTCCCAAATGTGAACATACTAATAGATTTGAAACTGATATAAGAATAAAATTGCACCTTTATATAAGAATCATTACCCTTCTTTTTTTTCATCCGTCCCAAAAAAGACTTTTTATTTCTATTAAAAAGTCCCTTTTAAATTATATCTTTTTTATAAATTATATTTTTCTCTAAGAAAATATATATTTTCTTGAAAAAAGTTTTTTATGCTTGTAAACATTCTTTATTTCATCATTAAACTATTAAAATACAAGCGGTCACCTGAAATGGAAATATAACACGCAGTATCTCATAATAAAATTTGAATGTTGAGAGAATCTATAATATCTATAGTTCTTAATATATAATTAATGAAATTAAAATTTGTATAAAAGTCAAGAATCGGAAAAAATAATTAGAATGGGAATGGGTAATCCGTTTGTGTAATGGAATGCTCAACAAGTATAGAGAAGTCGAGATTATTGAGGAAATAGAGAATACAAGGAATGGACGAAAAATAGTGGCCCATATATATACAATAGGTGAGGATGTATTATGGCCCATAATGTGAAAGCCCGGTCCTCCAATGAAGAGAGATCAATAAGACGAAAGTTGGGAGTGGGGTTTTCCAGTTGCCGGTTAAGCATCCGAGTATTGCACGAAAGGTGGAATCCTGACCGTTCCTTGGCACCGGTGTCAAACCAATCACCACCGTTCGATCTGCTCCCATCATCACGAGATTCGCAATATTTTAAATCCGGATTTCAAGTCCGCGGTACACATAACACCAAAAAAGACTGATTTTTTTAGTTAATAAACACAAGCTGAAGTATATTCCACCCATGCCTAAGCAAATGAGCTTCCTTCCAAAAATAAATTACTCCCTAGACATTTACAATTGTGGTATTTTGATAATTTTAGTCTCCATTGGAATTAATGTTTTCATCAACCATTTAACGAAATAAATATTTTTGTTGTCATTTATTTTGTAAAAATTTTCATAATTTCTAAAAATATTTTTTCCCCCATTTTTTGTTTATATACCAATTTTTGTATAAATTAAATTTTTAAAAAAATGACATTTTACACACTTTACACATTGTGTAATCTAATTGGGAATATCTTTGAACCAAACATGATTTTATATTTTTATCTTTAATAGAATAAAAGTAATTTGAGTGGCGTGTACTCAAAAACAGGGTGAATAGTAATTGCTAAATTATTGGCACCATAGTTTTCTATCTTAAAACCCACACCATAAAAGAATTTTAAAATACACATTAAAATATCCTTTCAAACAAATATTCAAAAAGTAAAATTAAAGTACCAAAAAATATCCCATAAAAAATAACAGATTCGTTCATAGCCATAATAAAATGACAATATCATTAGCCATTCAAACTTCAATTTTTTATCCAATTATAGAAAATCAATTTTAGTGTTATAGAGTAGACTCAGTTACATTGTAATATCTATACATAATTTTTCAACATAATGGAGCAAAGTAAGTCATTATGTATCGCATCCGACAAATTTTGAACTTAGATGAACTTTCATATGAATTTGGAAAAGTGAACTTTCTACCACTCAAACAAATGTAAATTGAGCAAATCGATTACTTCAATTGAACATAAAACAAACTACGGAGTAATTGCATATTTAAAAAATCTCTATAAATAGAAGTAAAACATAAAGAAAATTTCAAAATAGAAGTTTCATGTTTTCTTTTAAATAAAATGTAGCGGTATAAATGAACATTTTACTATATTTTTTGGTAATGTACATGATCATAATTGTTAGTGTCAATGTATATCAACTCCTATTTTGAAAATATATAATGAAACTCTTATTTTCATATCTTTTCAATATTTCACTCATATTTTAATCTTTTTCATATTTAATAATTAATTATATTTCAAAATAGGAAACAAAAACCAAAATTACTTAATTAAAATATGAATGCATTTTATCATAGTGATTAATAAAGTTAAACTTTAGTACGGATTTTTTTGTTAAAACAACGCGTTTTTTCTTCTTTAGGCTATTCTACTTTATGCTACAATAACAAATTCTTAATACTATAATGACAAAACGCCCTTTGCCCTTTAGGCTAATCTACTTTATGCCTTCTCCGGAAAAAGATTTCAGATTCAAGAAATTTAAAAGGAAAAATAAAAAAATACTCTGTCCCAAAAAGATTTACACGTTGCAAAAAAGTTGTGTCTCGCAATCTTCTACCCATTTCTATTAAAAAACTACTTTTACGCTTACTTTTTTAAATCCTACCTATCACATCATACATTTTTTCTAATAATCTACACATCACATCTTACTTTTACCCATCACATTAAAGGTATTTTTGGAAAGTCAATATAAAATTATCCCTCCCCTAATTTTAATTTTAATTAAAACGTGTAAATCGTTTTGGGACAGAGGCAGTAGTTTTCTGTGGTGCTAGGAGTGCCACCATGACCCGCGAAAAAACACGGTGCATAACGCCCTAGTAGGGATTCTAACAAGCTAACTAAATTTCTAATTGAAAAGGGGTGAAAGTGGAGGCGCAAGAAAGTTGGCCGGCGGAGAGATTGAAGGGTGTGCAGAAGAAGAAGACCGGGTAAGGGCGGGCATGGTACGGTTCGGTATGGTTCGGGATGGTTTGGTGTCGGTTTCGGTACAAATCGGGATGAAGATACATACATATACTTTACATGTTAAAATTTAACAATACCCTTTTATTTTTGAAAATTAAAAGTGAATTTAAATAAAAATATGAAAAATTAAAAAAATAAATATTTAAATGCAAGAGATGTGTATCAAAAACTTAGTTTATATTTTACAAACTAAAAAATGAATGACAACAAAGGAGTATTTTGAATCTTTGTGAATACTTGTATGCTCATACACAATAATTAAAATTCAAATAAAAGTATAATTTACACATAATAACATTTGAACCGATTTTTTTAAAAAATTTATAATTAAGTGAAGGAATATATAAAAATATTATTCCGGGGTATTATTTTTATAATATTTTAGTATATATGTTCGGTACGGGATTTTCGGCATGGGACGTCACCTCATACCGTTCCCGAATGCCGTACCGACCATTTGATTCGGTACGGTTCGGTTCCTTCTCGATACTTTTTCGGTTCGATATTCTCGGTTTTTTAGAAAAATTTCAGTATCGGTTCGATACTTGCTCCGCCCTAAGGCAGGGTGCCAGCAGTGATTTTGGAGGACTACTCTTTTTGTCCTTTTCGTCGGTCCAAAAGGTGGAATCGCCCACCCCCAGGCGCCCCCACCCCCTTGCCCGACAGGAATGGTGGAGGATATAAATCATGGTGACTCAGTCGGCCAAGAACGTTAGACCCGTGCCCACCGCGCACAAGGAGCCTCCTCACCCTTTATGGGATTTTTGGATAGCTCTCCCACTGCCGCTTGCGAGATTCGATCCCTGATTATCGGTCCAAGATTTCACGCTCTTAACCAACTGAGTATTCCTGGTCATGGTCATCTTTTTGTCCTTTTCGTTGCTCTATTTTAGGTGGGCTGGGCATTTGAGGCTCCCGGCCCCACTCTCACATCACATGGCACTTTACACCACTTTTGATGCTATATACTCCTCCCTCCCATAAAAAATGTCACTTTTACTATTCTGGTCTCTCGATAACTTTTGTTTGTTTATTCGTTTTGGTTGACCATTTGATAAAATAAAATATTCTTATCGCATCTTGTTTTGTAGAGCTTTTCATATACTTTTAAATGGTGTAATTTTTACTTTTTATTACTCTACCAATTTGAAATTAAAATAATTTTAAAAGAGTTGATATTTTGAATGTCGTTCAAAGTGTTGCAAATAAATTGGGACAGAGGGAGTATATATATGGTACGTACGACCTTCTTTTATCACATTGCCTTCTTGCTCAGTGGCTCATGACCTCCCCCATTCAACTAAGAAAGACGAGCTGAGGATGAACATGTTTACCTCCCCACTCTTTGGCTTTTTCCTAATCCTCATCTTCTTCTTCCTCTATGGGGCAGGGCCGCCGCTGCATCTACAGATGGATCATGTCTTTCCTCTTTGTTGCCCGAAGAAGGTGGTACACATTAACAATACCATCCCGACCCATAATCCAGTCCAGCCTCCAAAACCACTGGTCGTGAAATGTGTTTCCAATAGCGACAGTCTGGGGCCGTGGACGCTGGCGGAGAATCAGGGGCGGGAGATCCGCTTCCGGGTGGCATTCGATGGCATGACTGTTTTCACGTGCGATTTCACCTGGGGCTCCAAGCACCATGCCGTCACAGTCTTCGACGGCCTCCACGACAAGTGTTTTGATGAGAGGCATTCCTATTGGCAGGTCAGGCCGATGGGATTTTACTTCAACTGTGGTGAATTCCCGGAGGACGACAAATTTATCCTCCTAGGTGATTGGTCGTAGACTAATTATTGCTGTTGTTCATGCTATAATTTATGTTTTTTTAATTTATTGTTTGGAATTGAAGGAGTAGAACAAGTTGCGATGTCTTAAAATATCTTTCTAGCATTTGTCTTAATTAAACTTTCTTGTTTGCAATTTTTAGTTTGTTGAAAAAACTTAAAAGATCTTTCTAGTAGCATTTGTTTCTAAACTTCGAGGCCAATATTTTTTTTTTGTAATCTTTTTTTTTAATTCTGTCATCCATTATAAAACAAATCAATTAAGAAAAGGAACCTAAAGAGTTTATAAGATTTCCTTTGTTTTTTTTTTGAAAGCGAGCTTACAAGATAATAACCGGCTCCGAATATCTCGTTTCATATCCTATTTTATTTCTTGTAGAGTATTTACACTTTAAAATTAATGTTAAATTTGATTTTTAAGAATTAATTTTAAAACAATTTGAGCAATAAAACAAAAATTTATATTAAATTTAAAACTATTAAGCAATCAAAATATTAAATAATATTCGGGTCATAAAAATTTAGGGGCTAAGTGAGGGTATGTAGTGTTTCCCATTCAATTTATCACGTACTTTACACATGAGATGTTGAAATTTAAACAACACGGTCAACAAAATGATAAGTGACGCAATTAAAGGGGTCGAGATGTGCGTGGGAAACGAACAGAGCAGTACCCTTAAGAGAACACCGTACTTCCTATTAGTGACAAAATTTAGGGTAAAATGACTAAAATCCTTGACATGTTATTATTTTGATTATGTTCTAAACGGTCAGACTCATGGAACCCACTAAGATCATGAAAAAGATTTTCTAATCCATATTCAAGTTTCACTTTTGTAATCAGCCACTAAAATTGTAAATTCAGTCTCTAATTCAAATTCTTTTTCAAACTTAGCTTTTAAAGGTTCACTTTGCCTAAGAAAATCAAGTTTAAATTCCGACTCCTTCAAAAAATCAGCCTCTAAAACTTTAATTTTCTTTTGAAAATCAGCTTCAGCTTTATCTTGAAACTCATATTCCCAGGCTGTTTCACTCCCAAAATCAGCCCTTAAAGTTATACTCTATCAATTTAATTACATTAATCTACACTTTGTTATCAATTCTAACATATAGGTGGTAAGTTCCCCTGAATGGGTGACCCATTTACTTATCTGTTGATCAATTTTGGAGGTTACCTATCTCAAACATGTCAAATAATAAAGTTAGCTAGAGAGGAACAACCAATAGTTTGTTGCACTTAGTATAAAGCATGCCATAGAATTCGAAGCCATATAAAAGTAACTTTAGAGCCATAGAGGTACCTGAATAGGAATTGACCCAAACTTATATACCGCATCCAATCACCACCGAACATGATACTGTCCCAGATAAGAAAGTCTAGCTACCTTGATGTCCAAACACCAGAGTTGTCTCCTCTGGTTGTCGTCATCGCCTGGTCGCACACTCTCTTAGGCCTATCTTCCGTGTTCCTTCTGTTCTTCCTACATCACTTGCAGCCAATATTGCATGATCTTTAAGAAGAACACAATTGCGACTTGCAAATGCACGAGCTCAAAAATAGGTTCAATCCAATTCCAAGCATAACTTTATAAGTTTTAGTGTGCGCTTGGTACAGGATACTTGGCTAACAAGCAGTACTTGTTAGATACATTATCCTATATTTGATTAACAATTCATCAAACTAATTATGTGCATTTAATTTTAAATTCAGAAAACCATACACATCAAATTTAATTAAACTTTGGCTCACCCCTTCGATTTGCATCTATCAATATATAGAATTCCATCTTCTTTTGATGACGCAAGTCATAACCCAAATCCTACCTTGTTGATGGCACCCAAAGCTCATCATCATTCTACTGAGCATCCTCCACATTAGAAGAATTAATCGTTCATAATAAGACTTCTTGATACCTATTTCATTTTCAGATTCAAAAACGAAAGAAAGCAGAGAGGAGAAGAGCACAACAACAGTTTTTTAATGAGAATTGTCAAAACTGTCAAGGAAATCATTTCAAACACCAGCCAATAATAATAAGATTTGTACTTTATTAGCTTAATTGATCTCAATTAGTGATGACTTTAGTGTATGCTTATAAAAAAATATATGTCTTGTATTCACCTTTCATTAAAAATGTACTCCCTTCAAAGTTTCCGGTTTGACTTTTCCCAATTTTTAACCAGTGTTGTCTCTAAAGGAAAAAAAGAGTAGGAGCCAATTTGGGGGAAAGAGGAGGGATAGAAAAGAAGGGGAATTCGGGTAGATAAGAAGAAGAAGAATGAGCCAGACTGGGCTGCTTGTCCCTTGACTCGGAGATCTCTTACCGGTTGGTTTGTTCAGTTAGTATATTGGAAGACCAAGAAACAACCTACTGTAGCTCGATCTTCTGCAAAGGCCGAATACCGCTCCATGGCCGTCTTAACTTGCGAGCTCAAGTGGCTTCGTGGCCTCTTATGTTTCTTAGGCGTGCCACATCCCGCACCCATGCAGATTTTTTGTGACAATACGGCCGCTCTTCATATAGCCGCCAATCCGATCTTCCATGAGCGCACCAAGCATATAGACATTGATTGTCATTTTGTTCGGGATGAATTACTGCGTGGTTCCATTCGGACTGCTCATGTCTCACTCACAATCAATGTGTAGATATTTTTACCAAGGCCCTTGGTAAAGGGTAGGTTGAGGCCTTACTTTCCAAGTTGGGCATTTGTTTTCTACACGCTCCAACTTGATGGGGTGTTAAGAAAATGATATCAAAATAATATTAGTATATTATTAATCATGGGAAGCATATCTCATGGCTAAAGGAGGGGAGTTGCGCACGGCACTATTGAAGGGAAACCATAATTAAATACTTACCATTTGTATTATCCGTAGACTTCTATTATGTGTAGGTTTCCTTGTATCTTTTTGTGTACATATACACATGCCTCTTGTACGTTTGATACACAAGAAAATATACAAAATTTTACCAGTGGGTTCTTCAAAATCTAACGACTCAAAACAACCACCGCCATCGTAAGAATGATGACCACCGCCACCGTGAGAATGATGACTGCCACCACCGTGGGAGTGATTACCGTGACCAAAATGGTGACCGCCGCCACCTTTTTGCCGTCTTTCGTTTACGTGTAATCACTCCTGTTAACTCATTTAAAGGGAGTAATCACTCCCGTTAACTCGCTTAAAATATTCCTATCGTATCTTATTTTGTAAAATTTTTTATCTTTTTTTGAATGGTGAAGTTTTATTCTTTATTTTTCTATTAATTTGTAAATAAAATAATTTTAAAAATAACAATAATTTACGTGTATCCCATTTGTCCTTCACCTCCTCCTCCACCAACTTTACTCTAGGCCACTAGCTTAGCTATAGAGGTATACGACCATTTGAGCATTTACTTTGTGGGTGGGAAAGCTTCTATAGATGGAAAAAAACAAAAATGTACCCCCTTCATCTCCACCACACAAAGCAAGAGAGATAAAAAAAATTAAAAATAAAAAAATAAATGAAGAGTTAGGATGGATGATGTACAAAAATAAATGAAGGGCGAGGATTCCTCCAAAAAAAATGATGACAAGTGGAAAAAGTTGAACTTGGTATATCATATGTGGCTGGGGGAGCTTCCATAAATGTGAAAAGCAAAAAAAATCTAAACTGAGTGTTGATTGGCCCTTTTTGGGGTAGGAGTTATTGAATGCACGTGAGTGAGCATGTTACTCATAATAATACTCTTTCCGTCCACCTAAGATCTTTCCATTGCGCGTTACGAGGCTTGACCGACTTTATTTTAAATTCAATTTATTTGAATATAGGGATAAAATTTTAATTTAAATTTATGTAGTAATAAATTACATGAAAACTTCTACAAAACTAGAGGTGACAGGACTACATTATTTTGTAAAATGAGTAGTAAAAATAAGCAAACAAAATGAATTAAGTCTGACCCTGTGAATAGTATCTGGATGGTGGACAGAGGGAGTAATAATAATGGTCCTCTACTCCTATGCTATATACCACCTCTCTTTTAGTGTATTTAATATTTATTATTCAGTTTGATTTTTTTAATCAAATTATATAAATTTTGAAATTATTTTATCTAAATTTTTATTGCATATTAATATAATGAAATACAATTTTAAAAATAACTTAAATTTTAGTGCTATTTAGTATAAATATTTCTTTTTATAAAATTTAAGTATTGTGATGTATTTTCATTTATTAAAATATTGAATGGAATTAGAAAATTTCTTCAGTGGGTTTATTTTTAATTATTTTCCTTGGTGCCTTTATTCAATTGATACACCCTCCAAATTTCTGCCGGCACTGTAGCTTAATTTTTTTTGGACGGGAACAGTGTTCAAAACACTCTCCGTCCCAATTTAAATTACCCGATTATATTCATAGAGTCAAACTTCATTTACTTTATTTCTCTATTTTTATTAGTCATTTGGTAAAATAATAATCTAATCATGTCACCAGTAGTTTTGTAGATTTTTTTATTTTGTTTTGAATATATAATTTTTATTTTTTAGTCCTACACTATTTTACATGTAAAATAATTTACATATAATTTTAGTCAAATATAACAAGCAATTTGAATTGGGAGAGAGGGTTGTACTCCCTCTGTCCCAAAATATTCACAACATTTACTTTTTCAGCAGTCGCGGAAACTTTTGTTTATTTCTATGTTTTCATTGGTTATTTGATAAAATAAAATATTCTTGACACTTCTTATTTCGAAGAACTTTTCATGTATTTTTTTTATATATAAATTTTATTTCTTATTTCTATACCAATATGGCGATATTGACACAATGGCGATATTGATGCAACCCCCACCCACCCCAAAGATTTCACACTTGTTTGCCCTTTAAGGGTACTTATCACAGTGTAGTGGTTACCACATGTCATTCGTTGTTTTGATTTTGGTCTTAGAGCTTCAAACTCATCGACAAATTTGGAAAAGGGGTGTGAGGGGAGAGGGAAATCTTATCTGAGGAGGTAGAGAAGTGTGAATTTACAATTTTATCTATGTTTTTAACGGAAATGTTAACAAAGAACCATTCGTAGAAAGCAACATAATAATTGAGGACTAAATTATTGATATTTGATATGTATGGACTAAATATGTAAAATAAACTATAAATGAGGACTTTTATGGAATTTATCCCTTTGTATTATTTAGACTTTTTTCCATACAATTTAAAATTTTGGGTTTAGTGTCATTAGGTGTTTTTTAGGTTTAGCCGAAAACCTTTATTTGTGTAATGCTAGAGTCACAAATAAAACACTCATAAAATGCATAAACTTACCATTTGTATATTTTAGTTTTTATTTTTAATTATTTGAGGCCATTATTTGAATCTATTACTTCACATATTCAGCAAATTTGTGAATGTTTTGTTTGTAACTCTGACATTATTATTTTTTTATTTAGTTTTAAATTTTAGGCTTACTATCATTAGGTAAAACCCCACAATTTTTAAAATTAATTTATTTAAAAACTGGTTTTAGAATAATTAATAAAATTTAAATGATAAAAAAACTAGGTGGGAAATTCTACAAAACAAATGGTTACAAAGCTATTTTAGGTGTATCAACTAAATAATGAAAATACACAAACAAATAAAGGTTAAGAGTAATGCAAGATTCACAGACAAATAATTCACAAAATTTATAAACTTATCTTTTAAATATTTTACTAGAATAAGATGCACTATAATAATAAAAAATATTTTAATTTAAAATTTACAAAAGATTTGTTTGTGACTCTATCACTTACCAAATGGTATTGTAAAGTGGGTCATTAAAAATATAAAATAATTACTATTTTCATAAAATACAGTAGTGAACAATACACCATTAAGTTCCCATAATCCCACAATTAGTTCCCGGTGGGATTAGATTGACAAAAAATGATCATAATTTTCATAAAATACAGTAATAAGAACAATTATTTTTATCATTGTGTTTGATATGTTTGCAAGCCACCATACAGTTTAACTAAATATAATGTTTATCACTGCACTACGGGAAGAATGTGAGAAATGCTAGAGTCGCGAATATTTTGTTTACAAAATACATTAACTTGTCATTTATGTATTCAAATTTTCTTTTAAATTATTTAAAATTATTATTTTTTACTTGGTGAGGTACATATATGGCAAGTTTGTATATTTTATGATCAAAATATTTATGAATATATCATTTC